AGGGAGCCCGATGCGGGGCTCGATCCCAGGACCCTGAGATCATGACCCGAGCTGAAGGCAGACGCTTAACTGACTGAGCCACCCAGGCGCCCCTAAATAAATAAATCCTCAAAAAAAAGTTATGAAAGTTCCAGGGCCTTCACATCGAAACATGAAAAGAGAGAAACCCTACAGGCAGACGGCACACTCTAGAATTCTCCACACACAACCCTTTCCACCACCAGGGAGTCAGTACTGGTCTCAAAGGCAATGGATGATTTGGCTGCCCAGACACCTGCATCAGACTTTCCTCTTGTTCTTCTTCAGTCTGGTTAATTGGCTCTCCAATGTCAGTCGGCACAAGAATTACACAAGGAAGCTGATACACAAAATCGTGGCCACAATACACCGTGCGTGAATCTCAGGAGGTAATTTTGACTGAACTCGGTTCTCACTGCTAGTGCGAGCTTTGCCACCTGACACCTGAGCGAGGGGCGACCCTTTCTCTGTGTTTGCCAGGTCTGTTCTGGGGGAATTTTAGGAGGTGGCTGGGGTGTGGGGTGGTCAGGAAGGGCTTCTTCGAGTGCTGAGGATGTACGATGAGGCATAAGCAGACAGAGGGTACAAGGGCCACAGGGGGAGAGGGGACAGCTGGGTGGGAAGGAACCAAGCAGGTGGATGCCGGCAAGAGCAGAAGAGACCAGGGAACGCGACTGCCTTATGGATGGCCAGGGCGGTGTGGACTTGGACCCAGAGGTACTGGGGAGCCATGGAGGTCTTTGAGTGGAGGAGTGACTGTAACACAGGAAAGGCAGCACTTTAGTAAGATGGCTCTGGGGTTGTCTGAGAGGGAGGAGGCTGGGAGGCTCTGTTGGCAGACAAGACACCCCTCCCGCAGGGAGCCGAGTCCAGGGCTCAGCCCGGAAGGGGGTCATAAATGCTTTCGCCTGAACCAGTATTTCCCCAGTGTGGACCTGCTATCACCAGTTGGTGCTGGTATGTGGACAAGACACTACACCAAGCCAGAATCACATCTCAGGTGACCGATTTCTCCTCCGCAGAGAGTCTCCGTGGTGCGAATAGGTCTGTAACATCTCTAACCCCTGCTACACGGCCTGTGGAACAGAGCTTCCGGGCTCCGAGGCTTTATGTTTATTGTCTTTCTCTTTGCAGTTACCTTGAACTCACTGGCAGTGAAGCCAGTTTCCTATGGGTGCAGGTGATATTGTTTCCTTTTCAATAACTTTAAATTTAAAAACAGCTGATTCAGGGTGCCTGGGTGGCTCAGTTGGTTAAGCGACTGCCTTCGGCTCAGGTCATGATCCTGGAGTCCCGGGATCGAGTCCCGCATCGGGCTCCCCGCTCGGCACGGAGTCTGCTTCTCCCTCTGACCCTCCCCCCTCTCATGTGCTCTCTCTCTCTCATTCTCTCTCTCAAATAAATAAATAAAATCTTTATAAAAAAAATAAATAAAAAATAAAAACAGCTGATTCAAGAAAAAGGTCAAATGGCATAGTATACGATGGGAGAAAAATCAAGAAGCTGGCTCGTGAACGACTGATGCTTGGGGTCCACTCTTTTAAGAAGCCCCAGAGAAGAAAGCGAGTCCCTGGCAGTGCCCTGGCCCGGGAGGCTCAACAGGGAACAGAAGACTGACGAACCAGACAGCTGATACCCCTAAAGGTTGCCCTTCTCAGCTCTGGGGTCACACTGAGCCCTGGTGGGCTCTTGCACAGTGTCCCCCCCCCCACCCCATAAATCCGGGAGGGGACCCACAGGGAATTTGCTGACCCTGTTAGAGCAAAAAAACGCCACGCCCAGCCATGCATTTGCCCCCAGCGCCCTACCTCCTCCGCCTCCCGGTGATGCCCAGGGGACAGAGAAGCACGGGCAGCATAAGATACTAAAGGCGGACCAACAGGAAGAAATGCCTGAGCATTTCTGGAGCCAGAGCAGGTCAGAAAGGGCAAGGACAGCCTGGAGTGGACAGAGAAAACGCCAATTCCCCAGCCGGGTCCCCCAAGAGGCAAGGGAGGGGACTGTCCTGCTGCGGACCGACGGGGGGACGCCCTTCTCAGCGCCAGCCAGTTCTGCCTTCCGGAGCGCCAGACCTGGATTCTCATGTGAAATCTCCAAATGTTTTAACGCAGGCAAACGAGCAGAGGGCTGGACTGGTGGGCCGAGGGCCACCATCTGCAGCCACCATCTGCGGCTGGCAGTATGCACCAGCTGAGTGTGGGACGCTGGTGTCCCTTTACGGCACAAGCGTATATTAAGTGTCTGCTGGATGCCCGGGATTCTGCCGCCAGGGCCCCCGTGGTGCGGTTGAGAAGAAAACTCTGGAATGTCGGGGGGAGGGGAGGGGACACTCACAGGCCCCCGACTGCAGGGTCAGGACCAAGACCAGCGGGCTGATGACCAGGTGCAGACAGTTGAGGGGCCGTTTCCAGTTCCGGTCCTCCTTGTCAGGGTCCACGACGGGGATGGTGAGCAGCATCAGGAACTCCACGGGCAGCTGCCAAGGGTGCCAAGGCAGGAGGGTGTCACCAGGGAGGCCTGCGTCTGGGCTGTCCACACCCTGGGCAAGGTCACGCCAGAACGCGGCCGTCGTGGCCGAGGCCCGGCAGGCCCAGCGTCCACAGCAGTCTCCTGCGGCTGCTGGCGCACCAGCCCAAACCGAGAGCCTTCCAGCAACACAGACCCTTCCCCTTACGGCTCTGGGGCACGGGGTCCCAAAACCGAGGTGTCGGCGGGGCCACGTGCATCCCTCGGCTTGTGGCCCCCGGTCACTCCCCGCTGTGCTTCTGTGATCGCATCTCCCCCGACTCTGCCTGCCCCCCCCACCCCAGACCCCCTTGTTCCCTATAAGGACCCTTGTAATGACATCAGGCCCACCCGGATAACCCAGGAGACTCTCTACCTCTCCAGACCCTTCATCACACCTGCAAATCCCTTTTGCCAGGAAGGTAACAGAGTCACTTTTCCGGGGATCGGGACCTGGACGTCTTTGGGGGGCCGTGACTCAGCTGACCGCGGCACCTCATCCACTAATCCTAACCACGGCCCCATGCGTAGGAACTATTCTTTTTCTCACCTTCCGGAAAAAGAGACTGAGGTTCAGAGAGGTTAAGGAAGTTCTCCAAAGACACACAGAAGGGTGTGTGAACTGGGATCCAGGGCCAGCTCCAACGGACTCCACACCTTGCGCTTTCAGTCAATAACTAAATTAATAATCACATGTACGGGGCGCTCGCGACACGCAAACCGCAGAGACATCATGGGTTCAGTTCCAAACCACCTCAGTAAAGTGCATGTTGCAATAGAGCGAGTCAAACGGATTTTTTGGTTTCCCAGTGGATAGAAAAGTTATGTTTACACTATACTGTCTGTTAAGAGTGCCGTAGCACGGTGTCTCAAAAAAGGTACTTTTCCTTAATTAAAAAATACTTCATGGGCGCCTGGGTGGCTCAGTTGGTTAAATGACTGCCTTCGGCTCAGGTCATGATCCCAGGGTCCTGGGATCGAGCCCCACGTCAGGCTCCCTGTTCGACGGGGGGCCTGTTTCTCCCTCTCCCACTGCTTGTGCTCTCCTGCTCTCTCTCTGCCAAATAAATAAATAAAACCTTTAAAAAAAAAAAATACTTCATTGCTCAAAAATGCTAACCAGCCCCTGAGCTTCCAGCGAGCTGTAATCACTGCTCCCAGCTCACCTCGATCCATAGAGTAGTGGTGCAAAGTTTGAAATGTTTCAAGAAATTGCAGCATGCGACACGGGGACGTGAAATCAGCAAATGCTTTTGGAAAAGACCTGCTAAGCGCAGGGGTCACCACAGACCTGCAATTTGTAAGAGACGCAGTGTCTGTGAAGCTTGGTAAAGCCAAGGGCAATGAAATGAGGCACATGCCTGTTTCGCACCGTACTCAGCCCTTCACGGAGTAGTTTTTACGAAACTGCCACAACTTAATAAACTGTGATAGGCCTGATACTGTTCACAATTCTTCAATCCTTTCCTGGAATAGAATTAAATGCCCACGTCCTTTGTCAAGTGATTAGAAGCTGCAGAATATACTTTCCTGCCCCACTGATGTTGAACGTAGCCCCGGGACAAGCTTCGGTCAATGGGTGCTTGGTGAATGTGATAGGAGGAGAGGCTTAAAATATGCGTGCAAAGTTTGTCTTGGCCTCTTGTGCCAAGACAAGAGCATACCCCCCAAGAACGCAGTGGCCCCAGATCTAATCCTCCGGAGACTTTAGCCCAGGGAAACAGCAAATGGTCAGAACAACCCAATCTTGTTCTCATTCGAGCTCCCCTTGACCCACTCCCTCATCTGAGCCCCAGAGCCCCCCTCACCAAGTCAGGAGGGACTCCCTCCCCTCTCCCTCTGTCCCAAACGCAATCCTTCCTCCATGGGGGGCAGGTCAGGCCATCAGCCAGACTCTATGACTCAGTTTCCCCATCAAGTCCCACGTAATCTATTCTGAGAGGGTCTCAGCAGAACCCCGCCCCTCCTCTCTCATTGAGCTGGAGAAGGTTGAGTGGCCACTGTCCTGTGTTGTCACGGAGTCGTGAGCCTGGCTCCAGGGTCCCCCCTCCTACCTTGAACACCTTGAGGGCCCTCCAGTACACTGACTTGCTCCTCCACTTCCTGTAATCCAGGGGGTTGAGGGCCCGGGCCAGGATCTGAACTGTGGTCTCCTGGTAGAAGAGCAGCGGCCGGTACTCTTTGCCTGGGTGTACGAGGTGGGGAGGGGCAGGTATCCGTGGCTGGCTCAGCCTCCAGGAGACCCTCTCTGCTCCCCCTGGTCCTCCCAACCCTCAGGAAGAAGGAAAAGCCCAGGGCCTGGCTCAGCCGTCGTGCAGTGAGAGGTGGGGCTGTTTCAGAGCCTCATTCCTGGGGCCTCAATGGCCCCATCTCCCCACCTCTGTTACCCCCAGCCCTGCCCTGGTACCCCACCCCCGCTGGGCCCAGAGTCCGGACTCACTGTAGTCATAGCTTTTGGAAGACACGGGATCCTCTTCAGAATCTGAGAGCATTTCTGTAGGAGAGAGGGGTGTTTCACACGAGCCAGCCAGGGAGCCCAGACCACCCACTGCCCAGCACCGTTCCAGGGTAGGATACCTCCGGGACAGGGCCGTTTCCAGGGTACAAGTGTCTAGGCCCTCTGGACCTTGGATTTCTCAGCATTCTTACCGAGTGAGAAAGTCTAACTCAAAAAAACATCTTCAAATGTAATGACTTGGCTATCATGTCGAATTTAATAAGGGCGTTTGAAGACGTAACTCAAACATTTGCTGACTTCGATTTTGTACTTTTCAGAATTTGGAACCCACCATATTTTTCTTTTTCAGTCTGAACCTTTTTTTGGAAGTCCTCCGGAATGCTACAGCCTGAGCCCAGGCAAGAGGGGCCTAAAAGGAAAATGGTCTTCCTCATTGCTAGCCCTAGTCCTGCCTCTATGTGGCCTTAGGCTCCTCTCCAGGCCTCAGTCCCCCTTCTCCTCCAGCCTGATGTGGCTATGATGGGTCTAGAAGACAGCACAGGGGTGATGTGTGCTGAACTCTGAAGGCTCAGCTGACAGAGAGGGAGGAGAGGAAAAATCATGGCAGACTTCCTGTAGGGTGAGTCACCGGCCCCTGTGTGTTGTTCATGGGGATGTGTATACGTATACGTACGTACGTGTGTTGCATATGTATTTGTGTAGGTGTATATTTGTACGACTGTGTGCTGTGCAGGTGTGTGCCCGTGTATTTGTATCCGTATGTGCCCCGTATGTGTGTTTGCGTGCGCACATGTTGGTGTATAGGGAAGCATCTGGGTTCGAAGCCGAGGGCAGTGGAGAGCATCACTGGAGGTAAGCAGTGACAGCTCTGAGACAGATGCTGCCCTGGAGAGAGCACGGAGGAGGAAGAGCCCGTGAAACCGGACAAGCAGCTGGTGACGTCTCACCAGCACAACGGAAGTGTGCAGGTGGGACCTTGGCATAGAACAAGCAGGAAAAGTACGAGGAGGAGATGGATGGTGACGCTGGCCTCCAGACACGTAAGGTAGTCGTGAAGGGTGCAGAGGGTGCGAGCCCCCACTGGCCTCGCTTGGGAGCTCAATTCGGACCCTCACCTGGAGTGCCTGGCATGGAGTAGACCAGGGATGCCCTCCGCTGCCATCGGTAGATCCAGGTGCAGAGAACCACGGCGACCACATAGAACACGTACAAGCCTAGGTAAGCTGCAGACAAGAGCACAGGACATCACCAAGTGGCGTCCTGGCCAGAGCCCCAGAACGTGCTGCCCGTTCTCCTGCTGGGGCCTACTGGTGCTGGTCTGCGTTAGCCTACTCGGTACCAGTAGGGAAATGGCCACTTCCTAGAGCCGCCACCCCATCACCCTGCTTTCCCTTGGCCCATCTTCCCGTCCTGCCCTCCACAATCGGGCAATCAGAGAGGTAACGCCTGGCACAGACAGTGGCCCCCAGGACCCGATTCAAGGGCGAAGGGCTGGTGCCCTGCTCTGTGCCCTGGGAAGCTGAGCCCCGCAGACCGCAGCCCCCGAGCTCTGGCGGCACTGGGTTTGGTGAAAAGGGGCCTGAAGACAAATCAGAAGGCAGCAAGACAGAGTCTGTGGTGCTTCTCCAGACCACCTCCCTGGTGTGGTGCCCTGTCTCTGGCAGGACCTGTGACCCTCTGGGACTGTTGCATGTGCTTGGTGGCACCTGGTCCAGGCCTCCAGTCCTCGCTGGGGTCCAGCCCCGTCCCCTTGCCTCTCAGGGGCTCCTGCGGCTGCTGACCCCTGGATGTCTCTGCATCTCAGTGTCCCTTGTGGGTTTCCAGAACCCCCTGTGAACTGTGCCTCTGTCCACGTCCCTTGAACCACGAGTGGGGTGTGTGCACTGCAGGGACCCTGGGGGCCACAGTCAGCAACCTGGCTATACTGCTTGTTAAAATGGGACACTGAGAAAATCCAGAACATCCCCCCAGGCTCCCCGCCTTGCCCCCTTTGGTTATCTGAACCATAGGTTCCCTTTTTTGGCTCAAGCCAGCTTGAGGAGGGTTTCTCCCTCCTCCAAAGTGGGGCCACCCGCGCGTGTCCCCCGGTGCCTCCCACCAGCCCAGCCCTGCGGTTACTCACCCAGGGCCCACGCCAGTGTGACTCTGCCGAAGTAGAGTGCGGTGAAGGCCAGGAACACGGCCACCATGTAGAAAACAACGTCTCTGAGAAAGGGCCTGGAGGCGGCCGTGAAGGGGCGCAAGATGGCGATGCCACCGGCCACTACGGTGGTAACCAGCACACCCGCGCCTGGAAGGGAAGACGCAGAGCTCAGCCC